AACAAGTTGCAGGTTCTCATTGCTTTGATAGATCTGGATATTTACATGGCACTACAATTCATCAGCAGAGTTGCGACTTAATCACAGTGCCATTCTTGCCCTAGAGGCAGGATCATTGCAGGTAACTTTTCATCCAACGTGCCAGCCTTCTCTGGTCCTGGTGCTGTGTGGAAAGATTAGTGAAAAGCATCCTTGACGATTGATGCAGTCATGGTAAACTCTGGGGCCTTACACCCCCCCTAGAATTCTGTTGCATCATTGTATCATTGGGGGCCTTGCAGTCAGATTAGCCTTGTGTACATGAGGAACATGTGAGAATGACTGTAATGTTCAAGGCAGCGTGCATGCTTTAATGTCTGTAAATTTCCAATAATCAAACATTGCATATCAAATTGTTTCTTTTTCAACAGTCAATACTGCCTTGACATTTTGTAATAAATATTAATATTATTAATATTGATTACGAAAAGTAAAATATTATCAATGAAAATCTTGTAATTACCCAGCAAGATCTGCTCCACATTTTGATTTCAATTAAAATATTTATAATAACCAAACAAGACAATGCAAATTAAAAAAAAGTTACCTCTGGTTTATACATGCAGCCCAAATTGGTTTGGTGATTTTGATGGTCAAAATTATTCCAATTTTGATGGTAGAAAGTAGAAAGTAATTACGGCATTCACTATTAAAAACATAAGTGTAACACCCCTTTACTACATGTGTAACCCCCTTGGGCTGCATGTATACTCTGGTTAGTTATTAACACGTATTCTTTAGGAGACCCAAAACCAAACCAAACAACAACACTTGCGTTTTGTCACCTTGGACTCAGTCAAAAAATAAATTGTTAATTGTTTTTCCAAAAAAAAAAAAAAACAATTCGCATCTGTCCTACCAAAAAAAAACCAATAGGATAAATAATCAATGTGTACGCATCGATCAAATAACAAACTTTTATTTTTTTTCTCTCAAAAAAAAATGTTTGTCAGGAACCAATAAAAGAAGAAATAACTGGAAGAGAAAGGTAAGTGTTTTAAGGATGGTGGTGGTGGTTATCGCCTGCCACCTGTCGTTACTCTAGTTACAAATTGGAAAAAAAAAACAAAAAATTATGTAACATTTCCCAAATTACAAAAACAAATAATGAAATAAAAATAGAATGACCACGGATATTGTTACAGATAATAGCTCAAAGAAACCATACTATAAGAAAGATGAGGATGAAAAAGAGTCAGAGAATTTTACGATTGAAGATATATTGGCAAGTCAAATGGACAATGAAGAAATAGAGTTGGATAATGAAGAATTTGAACAAAGGTACTACAATAATTTCTATTGATGATGATAAATAATCATTTTCACATACAAAATTACTATATTAAACAGACTGGCTGATGCAGAAATCATCAATATAAGTGCTGCTAATTCATTGATAAATAAAAAACTTTTCAACAAACTAAAAGCAACTGCTCAATCTCAGTTTATTCCTCGCATTAACGTTGATGAGCTTAAAAAATGGATTAAAAAAAACTACACAGTAAGAAAATAAATGTAATTGTATCTATCCTTGATTTATCCATTTAGTTTACTGATATGGTAGCTTCAAATTTAGCGCAAAGTCAATACCACGTTATCAAATCTACAATCAACAACAATGATTGAAGGCTTTGACACAGAACAATTCGACTTTGTAAAGCAAATATTAGAAATGAAACTTATGCAGTTACAAGCTGGACATGGAGAAAAACTTGACTTGTCAATGGATGAAAACACATACACAGCTACAATCATGTCTCCTGATTTTGAGACTTTGAAGTTATGTTTTCCAGCTCTGTTTATTAGCAGATGGTAAGTCAAACAAGGACAAATATATAATTTCATACTGATTGCTAGTCTAACTATATCCTCTTCAACAGGAATGAAAACGAAGTTCCTTCATCTAAATGATGCCGCAAATTGATCTATGGTATTGGTTATGCATGTAAGGCAGATGGCATCCTTTTTAATTATGATAATGTTGACCAAGAATTCTTACTCTTTGAGAACGTTGGCCCACCATCAAAGACAAAGGAACCCAAGTATCGTGCAGATCTTCTAAAGTGCTTTCGAAATTCTGTGGATCCAATATGTAAAACTTTTTGGAATGGAAATGGAGACATGGAATTAGCAAAGAAATACTATGTATTATCATATGTGTTACACAGTGAGTTTTTAATTACCATTTTTTGTTATTTGAAAAGCTATGTCCTATTGACGAAAAAGTCTTGTTCGAAATTCATGCAGAGAATGAAGGTGAACTGTATAGATTGAACCTGGGTGCTCCTAAAGCATTCGTTGCTGAAAAAATACTAAAAGTCAATTACCCTTTTGAGCACACAACCTTCCCTAATATTGTTGACATCGTTGTCCTCCTTTTCACTATTAAGGTAATAAATTTTACAATTCTTTCTTTAATTGGTTAGAATTACACTAACATTTCTGCATGCAGGCTATATTTGAATCCAATCAGAATGTCTTTCATGATTACACCAAGTCATGTATGGAAACGTCTAAAAATTTTACACTGGTTAAGGAGTGGCTTTGTTTGAATAGGAATAGTTTTTGATAAAATCATGTATTTTCCAAAAAATCAAGACTAAACTAATAAAAATTAATTGTATCTTCTATATATCATGATTATGTTTTTAAAAAAATTTGAACACTGAAATACAATGCTCACTTTGTCTGGTTTTGTTGCAGCATGCCCCATATGTGAACATTGAAGACAATAGCAGTATTAAAAAAAATTTTAAATGAGGCTCATTTCACCAATCCAAAAAACCAAACATTAATAAGGACATTCAAAAATACCTGATGATTTTAATTTGAATCAAGTAGAAAGTTCAGTAATGGAATACTACTTATATAAAGGTTTAAATTTAAAATTTCAATGCATTTTTTATTTAAATTCATAATAAAAATTTAACTTGATTATTGGAACAAACTTTACACTTAGCAAACTCATCATGTTCATCTATTTTAGTAATTCGTGTAATCCGAATATTCGAATCGTTTATTATTATTATTATTATTATTATTATTACTACTACTACTACTATTACTATTACTATTACTATTATGTGATTCGAATATTCGAATATTCAATTAATTCGAAGCTCTAGTCCGAACAGATCTTTTGTGCACAAAATGAAAAGAGCAAGGGACCGACTATGCTTAATTTGGTAAAATCAACACTACTATAATCGAGGACCCGGGTCCTGTATCACCAATAGATAATTTTTATAGCAATTTTTAACTTTTAATAGCAAATAGTAATAGTAATGATTTTGAGAGGTTCAAAAAAAACCCTAATTATATATTTTAATTGTCAATCCGTCTAGGTAGTGTTTACCTCAAATATTCGAAAGCCTAACTCTAATATGGAACATATCGAATTGTCAAGTAAAAGTACCAAATTCTCTAGACCATCCCATCCAGAGAGTATATGTAATAATAAAAATATGCAAACGTAGAAACTATTGTCAATTCAATTAATTGTTTAGTTTATAGTTCTATTAATAAATTTTTGAAGTTTTAATAATTAAAATATTCAACCAATTATTTATTAAATATAAATATATTCAATGCCACCACAAAACATCTTTATTATTATACCGTTAGTATGTAATATTCTTAATCACGAGTATTTGAAAACATGAATATTATGAATACTTGAAATCATTACAAATTACGTGTTTGAGGATTGGTCTAAATTCCAAAAGCCTTCCATGCATTTAGATTTTATACAAGGTAGATTGATGTTCTACTACTTGATAAGATTTTAATGAAAGATTCAAGTTGGCCTCTTCAATTGTCAATATGGTATTGTTATTATTATCGTTATTATCTGCTTTTGTTTAAAAAAATATTTTCATTCAAGTATATACGTATTACAAATATTTCAACGAACATTCGAAAGAATTACTTCGAAAGCATCACATTATTATTATAACTCACATGCATTAATATTAATCCTAATACTAATTATAGAAGTTATATAAGTTATATGGGACACAAATCAATCAGGAATTTTACAATTGTAAAAGTGAACATAAACAAACATTTAAATGATGATCAATTAACAAATTTAACTATTTTTTTTTCTCTCGCTTCAAAAAAATGAACTTTTCATTGACAGAACGCTTAATAGAATTAAATAATGCACTTGAAAAATCTCTTATATCTGATGATGAATTTAAAATGATAAGAGCTAGGTTGTTTGATGTATTTACTGGTGGAAATATTATCATTAATCATAGTAATAATAATAGCAGCATTAGTTTAGTTAGTAATAACAATAGTAGCAGTAATGCTACCAATATCGTTAACAATCATGTTAGTAATAATATCACCACCACGCAACAACAACAACAACAACAACAACAACAACAACAGCAGCAGCAACAGCAACAACAACAACAAAAACAATTATCATCAATAACCAATAATAATGATAATGTCTCGGATTATCATCAAAGAACAATTACAAATTCTTCCAACTCTAATTCCTCTAATCCTTCTACTAATAATAATGATGATGATAATGAATCATTTTTACCAAATAAAAATATATTAAGAAAACCAAGTTCATTAACAAATTTCAATTTCCAGGACAACAATAATGATGATAATAATATTGTTGAAAATGAAAATGAAAATGTAGAAGAAAATTTACCAACACCTTTTGAATCTTCGCCATCATCATCATTAACATCATTCTTAGAAGAAGAAGAAGAAGAAGATGATGATGATGATGATAATGATAATGATAATGATAATGATAATAATGACATGACATTATCAATTGGTGAAACAACTTCTACTACGCTACAGCAACCTTTACGACAACCATCTCAAAGAAGTAGAAAAAGGATATCATCCAGTGGTTCTATTTATAGAAATAGTCAAAGACCAATTTCTATGGTTTCACAATCTTCTTTGCCATCATCAAATAAAAGGAGTAATAAGCATTCACTTTTATCATCTTTATCTATTATTAATCATTCATCGTCATCATCACATAACATTCAACAAAACAACATTCGGCATAATAACATTCAGCAAAATAACAATCGGCAAAATAGCATTCACCAAAATAGCATTCTACAAAATAACAGTCGGCAAAATAGTAGTTGGCAAAATAGCATTCTGCAAAATAATAATCAACAGCAAAAGAAAAGTACGAGTGGAACAAACGCTAAAACAATAAGTTTTGCGATACCAATAGAATCGCCTGCTGCACCACCTACTTCATCATCGTCAACATTTTCATCATCATCATCTTCTTCAAAACTATCACCACTGCTGCCACCACAACTGCCTTTACGAACACCAACACCAATACCATTATTTGTACCTGGACTAACAACCAATAATAACAATCGTAACACTAATCGTAACATTAATAATAGCACTAATCATAGCAATAATAGTAGCGCCAATAATAGCACTAATCATAATACTAACCATAATACTAATCATAATAATAGCAATAACAATAATGATATTAACAACAACAACCACAACAACGTGATTAATACTTCAAGTTCAACCAGTACAACTGATACTAATGTTGCTGCTGCTGCTTCATCATCATTTTCAATTAGCACTACTACATTACAACCAATAAATACAAATCAAAACTCTAGATCTATCGTCAATGATATTAGTTCAGGTAAATAAAGCAAATTAATTAGTAATGATAATAGTCACAATAGTAATCATAATAACAATATTTATAAATATCATTTTATTTAAAAGATAGTCTTAATCAACCAGTACCTGAATTTCCACCGCCACCATACACACCACCAGAATCATCACGTAAATATATCAACTATTTTTTACTAAATAATAATAAATAAAAACATCTTACTAATTGCATTTTGATTGGTTGATTTGAATTTATAATATAGAAACCAGATATCGTAGACCTTCAACCAATTTCTTTATAAAACCAAAAACAAGCCAAGAACTACGCAAAGAAATACAGAAACTACGCGAAGACCGTAAGAAAGAACAAGAAACTTGGAAAGCTGAAGAAAGAAGACTGAAAATAAAAGTGGGTGCAAAACCAGAAGATATTGATCGTGTGAAAAGAAAATTGAATGAAAGTACTGAAAAATATAATAAGAAAATTGAAATTGTTCAACAAAAATTGAATAAATTGCTTGATCAACAAACTACCAATGGTAATGGCAATGGCAATAGTGGTAGTAGTAGTAATAGCGGGAGAGACAATGTTAGAAGATTCACTATCAGTAGTTAGTTATTTATAAAATAAAAATGAACAACTCTTGTGATTTTTATATGATTGTTATACAGTTATAATATTATATATATATATGAATTTTATGTAGTTGTATATATATAGTTTATATTAATTGTATATTTGTTGTAGTATTTTTTCATCCAAATATCTTATCAATCTTGGAAAAAAGGAATTTTATGTATTGATATTAAATTTTGTAAATATTATATATCCTCTTAATACTAATATATATATACATACTTTCGGGGAACCTAAAAATTAGGGAAAAAATAATTTACTTAGCAACAATAACCATTTTCCTAAGTGTTCTTCAAATGGTATTAGTACTAAATTGATTTTCTCATTGTAAAGGCTTTTAGATATCAATGGCAGTAAAACACTTATTAGTTATAATTTTACACATGATTGACTTTTCATCTCTTTGATTAGAAGACAAATTTGGTTCACTTACCTTTTCATCCTTCTTTTTGGGTCCTTGTATAGTTGAGAAATGAACATTTGGTCCTATTTTGCAATGTCTCATGAAAATTATATCCTTCTTCAATTAGTATAATAGCCTTGATCCTTGTTTCATTGTAAATTGTTTTTTAGGCATAAATAATAAAAAAAAGCTTAAAAAAATCAATATCAAGGTAAAAAAAAACTTCTATACAGGCTTTTATATTGTTTAATAAACAATAAAAGTAAAAGACCAAATGACAATATTCATTAGAATGCAAATGCTTATTTAATAAATAACAATTAATAATATATACATAATTAATTTTAATAATAATAATAATAAAAAATACATTATTATGATAAAGAATGATACTAAAAAAAACAAATCACAGAATAAAGGGAAAAGATTTATTTTTAATAATTATTCTTGTTAATATTCTTTTGATTATTTTTGTGAAAGATTACTATCGGAAGAGCGGTTGGTTGAATTAACATGGATATTAAATTACCTGAACTTGACCCTAATCAGTCAGTCAGTGAAAATAACCACTGTTTATCAAGAGAAATATTTAGAAAAAATTCAACTGATCATAAATAAATATATTCAACAATGCCTACTTCTGTTGTTGACTTTGTTTTCTTTGCTCATATATGTCCCAAATAAGGTTGCTTGTCGAAACTCCACCAGAAATCAATCAGCAGGGTTTCGGCAGGTTACACATTAATTGTTTATTAGAATTTCGGCAGAGTTTCGCATTTTGAAATTTTTCATTCCACTGATTGTTACTTTTCTCAAGTACCTTAATTTGTTTTTCTTTTTCAAGGAGTTGACATTTCAACTGTTGTATATCATCTGATTCTTGTTCACTAAAAACTAGTGCCGTAATCCAAAAAAGGAAAAAGTATGGTTGCAAAAGTGGTCGCAAAGGTAATTGCAACCATTTTTTATACAATTACTACCATCACCATAATTTACGGCACTAGTCTTTATTGTTCACATCTTAAAGTTTTACCAGATAAAGTTTCCTTGGGTAATACCATAATTCATCTGATTCTGGTAATGAGGGATCTACAAGTATGACAGTGTGTGGTGATGTTGCTAAACCTAGTACACCTGTGAAAAAAATATAATTTAATCACTTTCAAATAAATACATATTAAATTAAATATTTTTAAATATTTTTGAACTTTGATACTCTATAAGGCAAGGTTGGAAAATGTGCGGTCCATTGATGGTCCATTGGTAGTCCATTGGGTCCATTAACGTAACAATTTGCCAACCCTGCTATAAGGCGAACATATTTAATTGAATCAACTTCAAGTTCTGTATGATTTCCCCATAATGTTATCCTCTTTTCGTTACCATTTTTATCACTTATTATTATATCTTATTTTTGAATCTACAAAAAATTTAAAAAACAAAATCAATTGATGAATTTAAATTTTTTCTAATAAAATATGTATAAAAAGATAAATACTTTTATATTGAAAGCTCTTTTAAAAATACTAAAAGGACTATGAATTTTTTTAATTATCCCAATAATATCTATGAAAATAAAACAAATATTAATAAAAAAATAAAAAATCAAAATATACATCATTTTAAAAATTAAAATCATTACCCATATAGCCCTTATAAATATTATCAAATATTTTATCTAATGGAAAAAATTTGAAAACTAATATATTGGCCAAATTATAGATGCTGGTCGCAATTCTTGGTGATGGTTGCAACCATATTTGCGACATATAAAAATGGTTTGCGACACCTGGTTGCAACCACCTTTGCGACCACTTTGGTTTCCTTTTTTGGATTGCGACATGGAACACTAGGCCAAATTATAATTATAGTTATCATCACACTAAAAAAAATATATTTTAAAACTATGTAATATTAAGGAAAAGTTTAACAACCTGAAATTTTTTATCTTCAAAACATATTTCATACATACGTTGTCTTTGATGATATAATAATTTGCTTGCAATTATTTTAAAGTGGGATACATAATACATCTATTTGAAATTAAATAATTAATAATTGACATGTGTTCATAGAAGATGCATGGGAATGGGATTCGTTTACCTTATTTTTTTCGATCCAATTATAAAATTCATCTACATAAAGATCAAATGTTGTAGCTATAATTTCTCCCTAATTACATTGATTATAGATTGTATACATTCATTTTAGTAATTAAATTTTTTTGAAAGAAATAATAATAGTGAAATTCCAATCAAAATCACAACTCATACTGATTGATCTACTAAAAGGACACCAAAGAATTTCCCATTGTCATAGTAGATGATTTCTAATTTGACTACTACATATATTTTGATAGAGCAACTAAACAAATAAAATAAAATAATAATATTTTTAATAAGCCATAAAATTAATATTCTCAAAAAATAATTAATATATATACCAATTTGAGTGTATGGATCTAATGTCTTTGATTCCTAAATAGATTCATTCAATCTTTGTAAATATAACTTTTTTGGTTGTTTTTTCTTCAACAATTTTAGAGCAAGTTCCTCTTCAAGTTCAGCATCTTTGATTTGTTCACTTAGATATTTTCTAGCCTTTTCATACTGAACTTTCCATGTTTCTTCATGAGAAGAGTCACGTATTTTAAGATAACAGATGGTAATTGCAGTTGTCCACTAGGTATAATGTGCAGCAGTTTTCTTAAGGAATTCACTGACAGCATATGTTTGAATGGTAGAGGTGAACAATTCAGATTTTGTGTCAAGTATTTCGGAAAGTATATCTGAAAGACAGAATGATCCTTCATCAGTTTGTTTCAAGATGATGGTTTGTGTGGTTTCACTAAGTAAATAAAAAAAGTTATATATGTATTGCATAACGTGATTTAAATATAATTATAATAAAATTGAATGGAGGAATCTGATTGATCAAATTATGGGTAATCATTTGTTTATTTTTATTTTTATAACTAGAGTGACGAGTGGTGACGATAACCACCATTCTTACAAATAAACACTTACTCTCTTGCAATCTCAGCTTTGTTTTGTTGTTGTTTTCTTTTCTCGGAGTTTTTTATTCTAAACATTTGTAATTGTTTTAGAAAAAGAAAAGAGAATTTATTATTTGATCGACAAAAAAGCGTACACTAATTTTTATTTCGGTCGCGTTTACCTCGTCGAAAATTATTTCGTCGACAATCATTTCGTCGACACCTGTTTCGTCGAAAGTTTGTTTCATCGAAAGTTCATTTCATCCTCGAGTCAGAGACCGAACGAGTTAGATGTGAGGAGCTTGGGAAGTTAGTTAAGAAATTAGGTGAGAAAAGCGGAGTGTGTGGGAAGTGTGAGGAGAAATTTGTTTAATGAAGTTTTTTTTTTTGTGACGAAATAATTTTTGACGAAATGAACATTCGACGAAACAAACATTCGACGAAATAGGTGTCGACGAAATGATTGTCGACGACCCCCAAGGAAAAAGAACAAACTACTACAGTTTACAAAAAAGATAAGTGAGAAAATTCACTTAAAAAAGAAACAAGGACAAATAATTGAAGTAAAACCTAAGCAAGTCAAACCAACTCATGCTAATTCTTTTTTACCAAATCTTTTTTTAATATCTTTAATCTTTAAAAGATAATATATTTATTGTATTATTTAAAATTAGACAGCAAATTATTTTCTACTGATTTTCTGGGTTCTGTGTTAATGTAATAATAATGCATCACTACTACATTATCATAAATCAATTAAGTTGATTGATTGATGGATGGATTGATCATCAAAAAAAAGCTTACTGTAATTTTGCAAGTGATAAAGAATTATATTTTAATCTACTAGTTTCATACATTGTAGAACTTATTTTTTCATTTCCATCAACGATGCTAACGTTAGTACTATTACGAACTATATAACCCTTTAATAAAAGTTCTTCTCTACCTTTTAAATATGCCTTAAAATGTTTAAATCCCTTTTTAATTTTTAACATTTAGCATATTTTCAAAGCTTGAATTGTTATTTTGTATTTTTTAAAAAAAAACCTTTAAACAACCAACTGTAAGACAATCCAAAAGAAATGCTGATAATCGTGCACTCACTGACTATATGGCAACACTTTGATTACCATCACCGTCAACAATATTAGTAGCTATCATTGTTTACTTTAACGAAATTTAAAAAATTAATAAATAAAATAATTTCATCATATCTATCAGCTACGGCCATACATAGTGAAAAGCACCGGAACCCGTCCGATCTCCGAAGTTAAACCACTAATGGCTCAGTCAGTACTATGGTTGGGGACAACATGGGAATACTGGGTGTCGTAGCTTTTTTGGTTTTATTACAAATTTTTATTCTTTTGATCATTCTCACCATTATTAGTGTTTCTATTCGAATAAAGATTGGCATATGTTATTATTGTCATTGTGTTAAATTCAAAGTAAAACCTAATGCGCCTGTATCATATATGCGATGTTATTGGTAATTTGAATTCTTAATTTAAATGGTAATAACCCAATATGTTGCAAACTTGATGATCAAATTTAGAGAAATAATGATCACGATTTTTTTTTTAGTAATATAAAATTTTCGTTTTAGTATGACACACTTGAAGGAAAGGAAAATGTCAATATGTATAGAATAGTTATTTATAATAATTTTTCTTTTTTATAGAAGTTATCATGGAATTAAGGATAAACCTTTACCTAAATAACAACAAGAAGAATGGTAAATAATAATAACAATAACAATCAGACTTTAATGTTTGAAAAATAAAAATAAAAGTCGGTAAGTCGGACGCAGCAATCAATTGTGATAATATAAATAAAATGATCGACTTATAAAAAACTTTTGTCGTGTATATATCAGTTTTGTTCGTACAATTTTTTTAAACACATCCATCATCCATTCATTTTTACAATCAATTCTATGAAGTAATTTGTCAAGTAAATTGCTCTGAAACTTGAAAATTGAAAATGGATAAATCTTACAATAAGTCCATCTTATGATAACTATTTATTTTATGGGTGGGAGAGCTTGAAAAATCAATTGACTCGGGATAACGAACAAAGTGATTGATGTGATTATAAACATGCAAATATGCAGAGAAAACGACAATATAATTTTTGTTTTATTTCAAAGAACTCTGCAAAAAAAATAACTAGTAAAGTCACGCATTTGCTAATTACATATTTTTTATTTATCTTTTTTTCCTGTTATATACACTTTTCTTCTCATTAATCATTGTGTCCTGATATTTTTTGACTCTGCAATTTTGGGTTTAAAAAATAAAAAAAGTCTAATTATCTTTCCATAGGAAACTGATCCTTCTGATGCGATGTAATGGAAAATTTTGTGGTGGTATTGGGAGCTCTTCGCTTTCCTGTGCACACGACCTACGTCCCAAAGGGGCAACTGAATGTAAATTATGATATAGATTGGTTTCTCCGTTATTTTAGAAGCTGAATATCATTTTAATATTTGCTATTAATGTAAAAATTACAGAAGTCACTCACAACTTCCAGCCGGAGATTGGGATAACCTCTATTTACTGACCAGGATCAAGTGTTTAGCGGCGAACAAACAGTATACTCTTCCTTCGTGGCCTTTGTCTCAAAAGGACAACGATGAGTGTCCTGCATATGCATGGAAAAAATAATTTTAAATCTGACACCTAAGATTAGTGATGTGCCGCGCATAGTTCATGGCACAGTAAGCGAACATTTTTTCTATTAGATATTACGCTTTACGCCTACTACGTGTGAGCACTATACGTATTAGTATGCACTATGCACACTATGCGCGAAAAAAATCGAATGGCATAAGCTCCACACGTCATTTTATTCTCATGTATGATTTCGAGAGCCCTCCCCACCTACAACTTTACAATCGCATATACAACTAGGAAGAAAAAGAATTTATTCCGTGGGGATTTATCATCATCATCATCATCACCATCATCATTATTATTTGGGTGGTGCAATTTATATAAATTTAAAAAATCTATGTTAAATAATAACGTCAACCGTCACCATTGCTTTATTAGAAAAAGTAGAATATTAATTGTGAAATGATGGTTACAACCTGTTGTTAAACCATTGGTAATTTATAAAATCGCCAAGGAATTTAGTGGCAGTCAAATGCTATATAATTAGTACTTTACGCACTATACGCGAGAATTTTTGTGAGAATAGTAGCAGATTATTCAAATTGCACTACACTGTGTACGTACAAAGTTACACCACAATAAAATAATAATATTATTATTAACATATGGTATATTCTTTGTTGTAAATTTGTTAATTACTAATGACAAAAAGCAGCAAGATCTGGAGTAGGTTTCAAAGAACCATGTCATCTGTGTTCATATTATGACCATAATTATGATAAGTGCCAGATGATAGCCGAAACTACCTACATGGTATATACGTAGGTCAAAATTACTGAATTTATTTAGCCTAAACTTGGGCGAAACTGATTTAATAATAATGGAAATTGGGCAAAATTATTTTTAAGTCTTTTAAACTAAAGTTGATTTAAATATTTATTATATGATTGTTGTTATGTATAAAAAATATTGGGTATGTAGTATTGGCCAAAACTACTTATTTTTTTTCAAAAATAGTTTCATTATACACTATGTGCTACTATGCACTACTATGTGCACTATTCATGAAAAAAAATCAGGGTTACTATACATGGCACATCTCTAGTTCAAGTTCAAAAAAAGTTCAAATTGAACCCAAGTAGTTGAAGAATAAGTACTGTAATGATCATCTGGCCCTATTCATTCAGTTTTGCTGAGGCGATCAATCAATTGAGCATATTTAAATGAAAGAACCTCAAGCATGCCACATATGATAATGAAGTATCCTCTTGAGTTGTATTGAAAATATATTTTGGAAATGAATATGAAATCATCTACTTTTGCTGCATAATTATAACACTTGATTTTTTGATGAATCAGAAAATTGCATACATAGTTCAGCACAAGATAAAAGTAACCCAACTAAACAATACCTGATAATAATAGATGCTATGTAATGATGTAATTGCCTATGTTTTTACTCATCAACTTAACTAGAATCTGTAAACTTGTCAAAAAAAATTTTTTTCTTTACTGCCAGAGTTAAACTAGGTTTAAACTGGCTTTAAATTGGTTTTAAATGTCACTTTTAAAGTCATTTTAAGCAAAGTGATAAATATTTTGTCCAAGATGGTTTTTATATAATTATATACATTGAATTTATTATTTATATTTATTAGAAACTATTTTTATGAACCTTAACACATTTTTTATCGACCTAGTATATTAATTTAACTTGAAATTTCACAAAAAGGCTCTCCTCAACAAGTATACAGTTCACAGACCATTTGGCTTACGAAAAATGTCAACAAATCTGTTATAGACAGTAATTAATTATATATTAATATGGGGCATATAAATTGGGCTTAAACTCTCAGTCGTTATAAAGCAAGATCATTATAGATAATTGTTATTATTATTATTATCATCATCATCATAGAGAACAGAAAAATTTTTTTAATTAATAGTCAC